CGTGATCGTGCACACCAGAGTTGTCTCACGTTACATCTGCCCATCCAACTTAAGCCTTCCGGCATCTTGAGAGAAGATGTAGCTCGTGTGGGGGAGACTAGGGTCGTAACAACCGCAGCTACATTGTAAATTTGCAGGCACGGTGGTGACCGGATGTGGCAAACCATTCTGCGACAGTGCACTGCATTTGCAGTGACAGTTTAAATGAAGACTGGCCCGCCGTGAAATGCTCGAGATTGCTCTTTCTCAGTATCCAAGGTTGGCAAGAAGCCACCTCTGAGCTAGATTGGTCTCACGATAAACGCCTAAAAACCCGAAACAATACATCCGAAACCCTAAGCCGCAACCCCTAAACTTCCCTAAACCCTAAACCCCCAAACCCTAAACCCGAAACCCTAATCCCTAAACCCTAAATCGAAACCCTTGTCAGGTTGATTTGCTGTCCGGGCTGCTTGCATCGCCTGAAGCCCTGCGCCCGGAATGGATTGCCATCTTCGGCTCGGGTACTGGAAGTCTAATGAGTAGTTCTCTACTTGGAGGCCCGGGGAACTTAATAAGTAGGTTATAAGTAGCATTATAATTGGGGTAACTCCATTTAGGGTACTTATAACTCTACTTATAACCTACTTACGCAAGTTCCCCGGGCCTCCAAGTACACCAAGGTCCCCCTTTTTGGTCACCCCAAATGAGGCGGCACCCTTATGAAACGGACCTTAAACTGGAACCCAATTTGGGGAACTACACGAATAGTAGCAGAACATTATTAGTCTTTTGACTACTATGAATATCTATGACTGTTGTTATCATGATATTAATTTCGTTGTTGCTTTTATTGTTTTTTGGCTACAATCAGACCCCCCGGCTGTTGGATAGCCTCTTTAGGTTCGGATCTGGGTTTAGGGTTTAGGGTTTAGGGTTTAGGGTTTAGGGTTTAGGGTTTAGGGTTAGGTTCGGATCTGGGTCCTGCTTTAGGGCCCCAGGGTCCCAGGATCTGGGTCGTCAGGTTGAGGATCTCGCAGGCCTTCACTGGTTTAGGGTTTTAGGGTTTAGGGTTTAGGGTTTTACGTTTTAGGGTTTAGGGTTTTACGGTTTAGGGTTTTACGGTTTAGGGTTTAGGGCTGCTTCGAGCTGCGGAATTGTCTAGCTAATCAGTATCAAGGCCCCGGTTGCTTTTTGACGGCATTGCACGAATCCTGGTGCTAACTGCAAGTCAGGGAACCTCTTTTTAAAGCTTACTACAAGCTACTACAAGATCATTACAGTTTCTAAAAGGTTTTAGAAGACGAAATGCTCCCTGCTGCTGGTAACCCCCACCCCGTTTGAGAGATACAGGAGCCTCTAGCATCCATGCTTTCGACAGCTTGGGGTCTAAAGTGCTCAAACCCTAGACCCCAAACCCGAAAGCCGGACGGCACTCCTCCTCCATGAGGTGCGGCGAATGGCGCCGCGTTTCGACGGAGAGAAGACGCTGAGAGTGTCGGGGTCCGTGCTCCAACCTTTCCAGATACGTTCGATTCAAGGTTGACTGGTTTAAGGACTAAGGGTGTAGTGTAGAACTTGTGATCTGGTTGACGGTTCAGGATTTTAGTGTAGTGTTTAAGATGCTGCCGGCGTGGTTGTTAGACTTTCTCTGCAGTTCGCAGATGTAGCAACATGTTTGAGATCTTACTTCGTCGGCATCTCTACGTTATGTTAAGCACTTAGCTTGTTAATGAAGGAAGTAATTTAAACTCATGTACTTGTGTAAATAATTGCATTATGAATTGGGGTTCTAGATTCTAGATAATGAAAACGATTCCATCAGTTGATTTATTAGTGACCGTAATTAACGACTGAGTATGACAAGTACGTCTTTACCAACGTAGTCAGGGTATCATTCAATGAATCAATGAATCAATCAATCAATTGTTCAGTTGGTTTATTGAACAAAGATTTGGCTGTTTAGTTATTTAGCAAGTAGTCAGTTGCCTAATTATCCTAATAACTGAGCATTACCGTTTCCATGAGTGAACCAATCATTCAAGCAATCAAGCAACCAATCATCAAATGCTGGGTTAATTTCGCTAAGTAGAAGTTGTTAAATTGATGAGGCAGTCACACATAAAGCCTGTTACCATGATCTACCCTATTGCCTAAACCCCACATGCTGTTTAAGTGCATGGACATCCAAGGTTACTTCTTGCAGCTGCGCTATACTATATCCTAGGATATGATCCGATGATTTATGAAATTATATTATATCGTTATTATGTTATATTATGTTACATCATATTGTATTATACTGTACTAAATTATATTATATTATACGACATTATATTTTCTTATATTATGTTATCTTATACTATATTATATTATATTATATTATATTATATTATATTATAATATATTATATTATAATATATTATATTATAGTTATATATTATAATATATTATATTATAATATATTGTATTATATTATGTTATGTCTTTTTCCTTCTTGCAGTTGCCAGACCGAGGCTCCATGCCGGCTCCATGGCTGGCGTTGGCGATTCGCTGCTGGCCGGGCTAAGGGCTGCGCGGTTAATATAGGGGCCTTATTAGGGTTTAGGGTTTAGGGCTTAATCATTACCTATGCTGTTCTTGTTTTTTTTTGCTATTTTTTTTTTGGGGGGGGGTGTCTTGTTAGAATTATAGTACAATGGGCCCCAAAACCCTATTCTAATTATTCGGGCCTGTCACCCCTCCGCCCAAACTCAGAGGGAATGAGAGTTTCGGGGTTTGGGTTTGGAAGGTCTGGGGTCAGAGTGGAACGTTCGGGGATTCGGGTTTGAAGGCTTAAGGTTTCGGGTCTGGCGTATCTGAGATCGTTCTATGGCATTATGAGTCAGAGTGAGCAGAGCCTGCACTATCTCAAGAGCTGAGAAGATGACTTGCACGAGATCTCCAAATCTTGGGACCGAAGCGACCAGGTTGCGAAGAGCTCGAGAAGAGGGTTCTTCGTGTGTGTTTCTCTAGGGGTTCAGGGTTTAGGGTTTAGGGCCTAGGGTTCCAGTTAGCTAAATAGTAGGTTACTGGGGTACATACTATAAGGTTGGGAACCTACCATTTAGGTCACTGGAGCCCTGGGGACAGTGTACACAATACTATATGTAATAATTTAATATATATATATATATGAAAAATATAATATAATAGAATATAATGTAATATAATATAGTAAGCGGGATTATACATAATATTATCTAGTATAAGATAGTCTACGGCTCGTGTCCGCCAGGCGCCCTGGGCCAACCAGGCCGCTCGGCTCGCGAGGCAGCTGCTCGCAGCCCAGTTGAGTCCGGACTCTCCCTGGCCGTCTTGAGACTTCAAGGATCTACGTCTACTACTAAGTTGTAAATTATATGATAGTCTACAATTATGCAATAGCAACAGTATAAAACGGTAGGTTATAGTACATAATCGTCTCCCCTCGGATCATGCATCGCAAAAGAGGGTTCAGATGTGAAGCCAGCCGTCATGTGGACATAAGTTGTCACATCAGCTTCATGCCTCCGCACCTCGATCATCCAACCTGGAAGGTGAGTGGAGTAAACTCATCCCCTGCCGCTCCCAATGACATGGCGAGAAGCATCTTAACGCAAGCCGCGAACCCGAAGCTCTTGCCGACAGGACCTCCCAATATGCCTGTCCGAGGTGCTTGGCAGACCGGAGGACGCTGAGAATAGTTTGGGTCTCAGCTTTGCGCATGGGGATCGATCTAACTAGGTTGCGGGCTACTTGAGGCTGTAAAGCCTCATTCTACCTAGAAGGCAGCCTAATGCAGAACGACCATTCCATGCGGTGCCGGTTGATGAAGCAGCACTGGGACATAGGTGTGGCTTGCTCACGTCAGTAGACCATACATATATACATACATACATACATACATACATACATACATACATACGTACGTACGTACGTACATACGTACATACATACATACATACATACATACATACATAGATGCAGACATACATACATAC